GATTTCAAAATTTGTAACAATGTCAGTGATCAAACATATTTTAAACACCATAAATATTTTAAAGATTCCAGAAAGTTCAAAGCATCTTGAATTTTCAAAAATTCTAGAAAATCTGAGGTTTCAGAGATTTTAAAGACACCAAAGTGGATGAAGATTCCAAAACTTCTAGATATTTCAGAGAATTTACGGATTTTGGAGCTTCTATAAACCCTAGAGTTTCTAAAAATTTTTAGAAATTCAGAAACGTCAGAAATTCTTCAGATCCTTGAAACTTAAGGATCTTAGAATACTACATATTTCAGAGATTATAACGAGTTCAAAATATAAAGATCCTTATTATCTTAAAGGTCTTAAAAGTCCTAAAAATTCTAGAAATTTTAAAGGGTCCTAGAAATTCGAGAACCTTAGAGATCCTAGAGAGACTAGATGATTTCAAAATTTGCAACAATGTCAATGATCAAACATACTTTAAACGCTATCAATATTCTAGAGATTCCAGAAAGTTCAAAAGCTTCTTGAATTTTCAAAGATTCTAGGAATGTCTGAGTTTTCAAAGATTTTAAAGGCACCAAAGTTGATGTAGATCCCAAAACTCTTCGATATTTCAGAGAATTTACGAATTTTGGAGGTTCTATAAACTCCAGAGTTTGTAAAAATTTTTAGAAATTCAGAAACGTCAGAAATTCTTCAGATCCTTGAAACTTAAGGATCTTAGAATACTACATACTTCAGAGATTATAACGAGTTCAAAATATAAAGATCCTTATTATCTTAAAGGTCTTAAAAGTCCTAAAAATTCTAGAAATTTTAAAGAGTCCTAAATATTCGAAAACCTTACAGATCCTAAAGATACTAGATGATTTCAAAATTTGCAACAATGTCAATGATCAAACATACTTGAAACGCTATAAATATTGTAAAGATTCCAGAAAGTTCAAAAGCTTCTTGAATTTTCAAAGATTCTAGAAATGTCTGAGTTTTCAAAGATTTTAAAGGCACCGAAGTTGATGTAGATTCCAAAACTCCCAGATATTTCAGAGAATTTACGAATTTTGGAGGTTCTATAAACTCCACAGTTGGTAAAAATTTTAGAAATTCAGAAATGCCAGAAATTCTTCAGATCCTTGAAATTTAAGGATCCTAGAAATCTTAGACATACTACATATTTCAGAGATTATAACGACTTCAAAATATAAAGCTCCTTATGATCCTAAAGGTCTTAAAAGTCCTAAAAATTCTAGAAATTTTAAAGGGTCCTAGATATTCGAGAACCTTAGAGATCCTAGAGACACTAGATGATTTCAAAATTTGCAACAATGCCAAAGATTTAAACATATTTTAAACGCTACAAATATTCCAAAGAGTCCAGAAAGTTCAAAACTTCTTGAATTTTCAAAGATTCTAGAAATGTCTGAGTTTTCAAAGATTTTAAAGGCATCAAAGTGGATGTAGATTCCAAAACTCCTACATATTTCAGAGAATTTGCGAATTTTGCAGCTTCTATAAACCCTCGAGTTTCTAAAAATTTTTAGAAATTCAGAAATATCAGGAGTTCTTCAGATCCTTGAAACTTAAGGATCCTAGAAATCTTAGACATACTACATATCTCAGAGATTATAACGACTTCAAAATATAAAGATCATTAGGATCTTAAAGGTCCTAAAGCTGCTAAAATTTCTAGAAATTTTTAAGGATCCTAGAAATTCGAGAGCCTTAGAGATCCTAGAGATACTAGATGATTTCAAAATTTGCAACAATGTCAAATATGAAACATTTTTAAGCGCTAGAAATATTCTAGAGATTCCAGAAAGTTCAAAGCTTCTTGAATTTTCAAAAATTCCAGAAATGTCTGAGGTTTCAGAGATTTCAAAGGCACCAAAATTGATGTAGATCCCAAAACTCCTCGATATTTCAGAGAATTTACGAATTTTGGAGGTTCTATAAACTCCAGAGTTTGTAAAAATTTTTAGAAATTCAGAAATGTCAGAAATTCTTCACATCCTGGAAACTTAAGGATCTTAGAATACTATATATTTCAGAGATTATAACGAGTTCAAAATATAAAGATCCTTATTATCTTAAAGGTCTTAAAAGTCCTAAAAATTCTAGAAATTTTAAAGAGTCCTAGATATTCGAGAACCTTAGAGATCCTAAAGATACTAGATGATTTCAAAATTTGCAACAATGTCAATGATCAAACAAACTTGAAACGCTATAAATATTGTAAAGATTCCAGAAAGTTCAAAAGCTTCTTGAATTTTCAAAGATTCTAGAAATGTCTGAGTTTTCAAAGATTTTAAAGGCACCGAAGTTGATGTAGATCCCAAAACTCCTCGATATTTCAGAGAATTTACGAATTTTGAAGGATCTATAAACCTCACAGTTGTAAAAATTTTTAGAAATGTTAGAAATTCTTTAGATCCTTGAAACTTAAGGATCCTAGAAATCTTAGACATACTACATATCTCAGAGATTATAACGACTTCAAAATATAAAGATCCTTATTATCTTAAAGGTCTTAAAAGTCCTAAAAATTCTAGAAATTTTAAAGGGTCCTAGATATTTGAGAACCTTAGAGATCCTAGAGACACTAGATGATTTCAAAATTTGCAGCAATGTCAATGATCAAACATACTTTAAACGCTATAGATATTCTAAAAATTCCAGAAAGTTCAAAAGCTTCTTGAATTTTCAAAGATTCTAGAAATGTCTGAGGTTTCAAAGATTTTAAAGGCACCAAAGTTGATGTAGATCCCAAAACTCGTCGATATTTCAAAGAATTTAGAAATTTTAGAAGTTCTATAAACTCCAGAGTTGGTAAAAATTTTTAGAAATTCAGAAATGTCAGAAATTCTTCAGATCCTCGAAACTTAAGGATCCTAGAGATCTTAGACATACTACGTATTCCAGAGATTATAAGGACTTCAAAATATAAAGATCCTTATGATCTCAAAGGTCCTACAAAACTTCCAGATATTTCAGAGAACCCAGGGATCTTGGGACTTCTAAAAACCCAGAATTTAGACGAAAATTTTAGAAATTCTAGAGGTCATTGAACCCTATGTATCCTAGCGATCTTAAAATCCAGAGGTCTTTGAAACTTGATGATTTCAGTACTTTTAGCGTTTACGACAATGTCAAAAATAGAATCTATTTTAAATGGTAAAAATATTCTAGAGGTACCAGAAATTTCAAAGCTCGTTCAAGTTTCTAAGATTTATTACAGATGGCTGATGTTGAAGAGATGGAATACTTTGAGATTCTATAGATTCCAACAGTTCCAAATATTTTTCTAAAGAAATTTGAGGGATTATAAAGATTCCAAAGAGATACTAGATACATAGAAAATTTAAATCTATTACAAAACATCAGCTCTAAGAGATGCACTATAATCCGTTACTCTTGTAGGAATATTGAGGAGTTGTGAGCAACCAGTCAGAAAATAGATTCAGATTTCAAAGGTTCTTCAGAATTTTGAGCTTCTAGATAAATGGATTTTCGGAATTGGAGGTAAATATTTGACAGATTCCACGAATTTTAAAACTGTAGAAACTTCAGCGATTGGATGGAAATGTTAAGGATCTGAGTTTCTAGAGATTTTAGAATACATAAGAAAATCGAAAAATAAAAAAAATTCTCAAATCCTAAAAATCATAGATATATTCTAGACATATTTATGAGTCATAGCGATCTTTAAAATCTTGGAGATCTTGAGCTGATCAGAGTCTGAAATGGAAATAAAAATGTGATCAAAGACCACCATCGCCCATCTATCCACGACCCCAAAGCAAAACCTCTTCAATGGCCAATAAACTTTAATTTCAGTTTTTGTTATCGCTTTTACGATCCAATTAATTTTCGCGTATCAATTAATTCCGAAACTCCGCTTAATAGCGCATGAAAAGTTTAATAAAGTCGTTTCCATTTTAGGACACCATCCACTCCATATTTATTCCACAAGAAAGAGAAAAAAACGAAAATAAAACTCTTAATTTTATTTGCATATTTACGCGAAGTGGTCCAACATAAACGACTTTCCCTAGCTCTTGTATCTATTATGATTATTTCATTGCCTTTAGGAATGCGTTTTTTACTTTGCTCTAAGCGGTGGAGATAATTAATGTTACAATGGAATTAAAACACATAGATACACGCTTTTTTCTACGGTCATTAAGATAAGGGGCTGCGGCTACTACGGCCAGTTTTTAGTTTCATAGCTGCCTTATCGAAAAAGGGTTTAAAAGCTTTTGGGAGTGGATTTTCTAGGTTTCGGGATAATTATCAATCGATCAATCCAATAAAGTTTAATGAAGGAGCGACGATCTTGAAGTGTTGCCAAGGGGTGCTATGAGTACAAAGGTGGTTTAGTCATAGAGTAAGTATCAATTTATCATATGTTACACGCTCTAACAACTGGGTCAAAAATGTGATTCATATTATATATCAGAGCATGAGTGGTGTTTTAATGACAATTTTGCGTTTTTACACGTCGGTGTTGAAACGCAAATCCATTTAATATTGTTTTGCAACGTAATGATTTATTTTTCGGATTAGGGTGAGTCGGAGCACCATCTTGTAGAAACTCAAAGAAAACAATTCCGATTCAACGAATACGGTTGCCACAACGTTACGTAACGTTTGTTTATATTATGCACACTAATAAATCACGAGAAAGTGGTCAAGTTATAAGCGTAAATTCATTTATAGACGTGTAAATGTACATTGCATTTAATAGATATTCAATTTAATTTAATATTGTTTGCAAACGGTGTATAATTCTCCCATAAATTACACCTTATTCTCGACTCCGGCAAAAACCACGAAACGCAAAATTCGCGTTCGTCGCACTTCATTACTCCCAAAATGTTTGCAACAAAACCATTCAATTAACTTAAATTACAACGTCGTGAAAATTACTGACGGCCAGCCGACCATGTCCAGGCACGCTTTTAGCTAATTTTCGATTGGGTCTTACACAAATAACACGATTTTTGTTGCAGATTTTCTCTACCGCCACAACGTCACCTTCGACAACGTCACCACAGAGGTGGAAATCTTGGACACGTCCAAGTGTGCGGTAAGTTCAAAACTGGTATTCGCCGCGGCTTATTTATAAGCGTTTTTGTTGGGAAAAATGTCGGAGAATCACAATTTATCAAGAAAATTGCCACAACTTGCTGTAATTTATTATACAATAACTAGTTTTAGATAATGAATTTTCATTGCCGCTATTAATATTGTGGAGGCACAGCAGGAGGATTAGCGGTCGGCGGTGATACGGGGTGGACAGTTGGATGGTATAATTGACATACATATGTACTGGAGGTCTTCGGAAATGGGTTGGAAAGTTGCGGGTGAAAATCAAAATTTTTGGGTTAAAAATTTGAATAAATAGTAAATAAATTTAATGAATTTAACAGGAATAATGTATTAAACAAAACAGTTCAAATTTAAATTGTTAATGAATTTTATATAAAGTGAATGGATGGAAAACGAAATGGAAGTAAAAGTATTTTAACAAACTTGTTACAAAATAGACAAACAGAAGAAGGAAAGGAAGACAGATTAAAAGAAAAATATGAATAAAGATAAAAGATCGATAGAAGGAAAAAAGACGAACAGAAAGATAGACGGAAAGAAATACATAACAAGGAAAAGAGACATATAGAAAGATTACAGACAAACAAAAAGAAAAAAAACAGACTGCAGGAAAGAAAGATAGAAGAGAGAGAAACATAAGAAGGAAAGAAAATGTACAGAAGTAACAGAAGACAACAGAAGGAAAAAATCATAAAAAGGCAGGCAGAAGAAAGAGGAAACAATAGGACGAAAGGAAAAAACGAAAGGATAGAAAGACAAATAGAGAAGAAAAGGAAGACAGCAGACGGGAAAGAAGACAGCAGTAGCATCGAAAATAGAGAGCAGATATAAAAGAAAAACATACATAGGAAAGAAAGACAGCGGAAAGAGAGAAAGGCAAGAAGAGAAGGAAAAGAATACAACGGAAGGAGAGAAAAACGGAGAGAAATATCCCACCTTTTATCAAAGAGAGCAGAAAGGAAAAGACAAGAAAGAAACGAAAACGGAGAGAAAAACAAACTACAAACAAAAGAGAAAAGCAACGTGAGAAAAAAGAAGAAACCAAGGAGGAAAGAAAAAAAGTAAAATATTCGAACAAAAGAAAATCATCAGAAGAAACCAAAAACAGAAAAAGACAGATGAAAGGATATATAAAAGGAGAGGAAGACAGCAAAATAAAATGAAGACAACAGGAAGAACGAAAAACAAAAGAAAGAAAGGCGAACACAAGAAAACGAAGATAGCAGAAGAAAGGAAAGATGTCGGAAGAAAAAAACAGAGTAGAAGAAGAATAAGATAGCAGAGGAAACGAAAAACAGAGAGAGAAAGGTAAAAAATAAACAAAAAGAAACAAAACATAATGATGGGAAGAACGACAACAAAAGGAACGAAAAACAGAAAACAAACTAAAGGAAACAAACACAGACGGAAAGAACAACAGAAGGAAAGGAAGATAGAGAGAAGAAAGGAAAGACAGCAGAAAGGAAAGGAGACAGGAGAAACAACGAAAAGTACTAGAGATTAAATACAGACGAAAGAAGGAAAAGAATATAACAGAACAAACAAAAGCGGAGATCAAAGACAGTCAAATGATAAACAAATAAAAACAAAAGACTAACAAAAAAAAAATACAAACACAAATAAGACAAGTAGAAGGAACGAAAACAGAGAAAACTAAGTACGGATAAAAGGGAAAATTAAAGAAAGCAGAAAGAAGAGAAAGTCAGTGGAAAGAAATACATACCAAGAAAAGAACCTCAAACGGAAGGATAAACAGACAGAAGAACAAAAAATAAAAAATAAGGATAGGCAACCAAAAGGTCTATCCTTAAATAAGGCAAAAGGAAAAAAGACGGACTCAAACGAAAAACAGAGAGAAGTATAAACCGAGAAAATCATAATAAGGAAAGAAAGATAATAAAAGAAAAATAGGAGAAAGAAAGAAAGAAAGAAAAGACACATGAAAGGAAAAAAGATAACAGAAAGCGAGATAGAGAGAACCAAGAACAGAAAGAAAAGAATACTGCAGAAGAAGACAAAAACAGAGATTTTGTTATGAAAAACAGTCAAATGAAAGTGAGACGCCAAAAAGAAAGCGGGAATAATAAACAGAGAAGAACAAATGACAGACAAAAGAAAAACACGAAAGGAAAAAAACATAAATAGAGAAATAAAACGAAAAAGAAAGAAGAAAGACAAACAGAAAAGTAAACAGATAGATAGCATGAAAGAAAAAATAGGAAAAAGAAAAACATAAAAAGGGAAAAAGATACAAGAAAAAAAAGTACGACCAACAAATGAATAGAAGAAAAAGGACATCGGAAAGGACGGACAAAACAAAGGAAAGGCGAAGGAAGGAAAGGAAACCAGCAAATGAAACAGAACCAGTATTAGAAAGAAAGGAAGGCAAAAGAAGGCATGAAAACCAAGAGAAAAACAAATGTTAAACAAAAAGAGAGAAAAATAACGGAGGAAATACAGCAGAAAGAACGGAAAGTTGGGAGCAAATATAAAAAATAGACGAAAGGAAAAGAAGAGAGGAGAGAAGAAAAAAGCAAGAACAGAAGTAAAAGAATACAGCAGAAGAAAAGAAAAAAAGAGTAATATTTTTCTTTTTGTCAAAGATAGCCGAATGGAAAAAGACAACAGAGGAAATGAAAACGGAGAAAAAAATCAAATACAAAAATAAGGGAAAAAAGAGAGAAACATCTATTAAAAAAAGAGGAGGAAAGAAATACATGAGTGGACAGAAGGATAGACAGAGAGTGGATCATCAGAAGAAAACAAAAACTTGAAAGAACTGAAAAGGCGGACTGAAAAAAAAGAAAACAGCAGAAGGAAAGAAAAACGTAGGAATAAAAAAACAGGAAGAAGAAAGGAGTAGAGCAGAAGTCGAGGAAGACAACAGAAGAAACGAAAAACAGAGAGAAAGGTAAAAGATAAATAAAAACGAACAAGAGATTATAAGGAGAACAGCAGAAGGAAAGAACGACAACAGAATGAACGAAAAGCGAAAGATTAGCTAAAAGAAAGAAAGAAAGGCAGACAGAAGAAAACGAAGACAGCAGGAGGTAAGAAAGACGTGGGAACGAAAATCAAGAAGAAAGGAGGCGGTAGGAGTTAAAGAAAATAGCAGAAGAAACGAAAAACAGAGAGAAAGGTAGAAGACAAACAAAAGATAATAAAACATAATGAGAGGACACAGCAAATGGAAAAAACTACAACAGAAGGAACGGAAAACGGGGAGGAAATGAAAAACAGACAAAAGGAAAGAAAGGTAGACAGAGGAAAAAAGAAAACAACAGAAAGAAAGACATAGGAAGAAAAAAACAGCAGGAGGAGGAAAGGAAGAGTTTAGAACAAAATAAGATAGCAAAAGAAACGAAAAACACAAAGAATTGTAGGTAAAGGATAAACATAAAGAACAGAACATATAATAAGAGAAAATAGCGTAGGGAAAGAACAACAACAGAAGGAACGAAAAACATAAAAAAAAGAAGGGCCACAGAACGAATGAAAGGTAGTGGCATATGAAAAGGAAGACAGCACAGAGAATGAAAAACAATGAATAAAACAAAAAACAGATAAAAGAAAAGAAAGGCAGGCGAAAAAAAAGAAGACAGCAAAAGAAGATAGCAGAAAAACGAAAATAGGGAGAAAAGTGACAGACGAACAAAAGATAACAAAAGACAATAAGAAAAGACAGCAGACGGAAACAACGACAACACAGAGAACGAAAAATAGAGAGAAAGGAAAGGACGGACAAAAGGAAAATAAATCAGATAGAAAACAGCAGAAAGAAAAACAACGGAAGAAAAAAACAGGAGGTGGAAAGGAAGAGATTAGAAGCATAGATAAAATAAGATAAGAAGCAAGAAATCAAATCGCAGAAGAAATTAAAATCAGAGAGAACGGTAGAAAAGGAACAACGGAATATACCATTTGGGAAAACAGCTGAGGGAAAGAACGACAAGAGGAGGAAAGAAAACATAAAAATAAAAGGAAATCAGTGGCATATAAAAAGGAAGATAGTAGAAGTAGAAGAAACAAAAGCAAAGAATGGTAAAAGATAAACAAAAGGAAACAAAACTTATAATGAGAGGACAGCAGAAGGAAAGAACGACAAAAGAAGGAACGAAAAACAAAAGACAAACTAAAGGATAGAAAGTCAGCAGGATGAAATTAGGAAGAGACCACAGAGAACTCAGAGCAAAGAGAAAACAAAAGACAGACAAAAGAAAAGAAAGGCAGACGAAAGAAAAAGAAGACAGCAAAAGAAGATAGCAGAAAAACGAAAATAAAGAGAAAAGTGATAGACGAACAAAATATAACAAAATACAATGAGAAAAGACAGCAGACGGAAAGAACGACAACAGAAGGAACGAAAAAGAAACGGTATCATAAGAAAAGGAAGCACAGAGAACGAAAAATAGAGAGGAAGGAAAGGAAGGACAAAAGGAAAATAAAGCAGACAGAAAACAGCAAAAAGAAAAACAACGAAAAAAAAACAGGAGGTGGAAAGGAAGAGATTAGAAGCATAGATGAAATAAGATAAGAAGCAAGAAATAAAATCGCAGAAGAAATTAAAATCAGAGAGAACGGTAGAAGATAAACAAAAAGGAACAACGGAATATAGAATTTGGGAAAACAGCAGAACGAAAGAACGACAAGAGGAGGAAAGAAAAACAAAAGACAAACTAAAGGAAAGAAAGACAAGTGGAAAGAAAACATAAAAATAAAAGGAAAGCAGTGGCATATAAAAAGGAAGACAGTAGAAGTAGAAGAAACAAAAAACAAAGAATGGTAAAAGATAAACAAAAGGGAACAAAACTTATAATGAGGGGACAGCAGAAGGAAAGAACGACAAAAGGAGGAACGAAAAACAAAAGACAAACTAAAGGATAGAAACTCAGCAGCATAAGATTAGAAAGAGATCACAGAAAACTCAGAACAAAGAGAAAACAAAAAAAAACAGACAAAAAAAGGACAGCAGAGGGA